AACCATCACCCAAAAAATAAAAATAAATGCCAATGTCAAACAAAATGAACTTTTCGAAACTTGTTTTATTGATCTGAGCCTGTGTACGTTTCAGGAAGCTCCAACTTTTTTTGGCCATGAATGGGTTCACCATTCATGTTTTTGTGACAGGGTTGCATATGAACCAAACATCACAAAGGAAATTGCATTTTTCATGAACAATATTGTTGCACAGCAGCAGCTGGAACAACTGGCGACTGTGAACTTGAAAGTTGAAGTTTTGCATCAAAAGTACAAAAATAACAGTGACTATAATGTCGAAGAGGGGCTTCCAAGCAGGAGCTTGCACAAGCTTTGCTGGTGAACAAATGAGCTTGCACAAGCTGAAACCTTGAAACACCATTTGAGCACTAACAGTACCCCAGCCCTGACACCTGCAACCATGGTTTTTCATTCTGGCAAGAGAAAGGTGCTGGAGTCAAGCACACAAAGCTGCCATCTTGGGCTTCTGTGTGGACCACTGGCTGCAAGATTCTGTCAAGAGCCATCAGCTTCAGCTGACCATGTGCTGCTTGCCACTTGCTGGACTGAGTTCCTGCCCTTGTCCCTTTGAAGGTCAGCTCATCAACAATGCAGAAATGAAGATTGTGTATAACCAGGAAGTGTTTCACTTTCCCACATCCACAGAAGCTACTGTTTGCAATGGTCGGTTGCAGCAAAACAACATCACCTGCCTTGCAGGTTGTACCTGTTTGCAGGACACAAGACCTGGAGCACTCCATGCCTTTCCAAAAGACACCTTCTTGAACCAAGGTGCTCATTAGCTTCTTAGTTGGCTGTCGAGGCTCGACCACATGGCTTTGTGTGCTGAAAAGATCTTTATCCTTGACCAGAGTGTTGACATGCTCCATAGTGACAGCTGTAAGAAGTCCTTTCTCGTATGTTTGTAACTTGCAGTGAACACTTCCAAATTTCCTGGGTTGCTGATGCTTTCTTTCAAGAGCAAAACAAGAGGGAAGCTGGGACCATCTTCTCAAACAATCTGGCAGGTGCAGAGCCCAGTGTTGTTTAGGCTTCATGCCATCAGCAAAACCAGCTGCAACTGTGGACTGCAGTGCTTGTTCCACTAAGGACACAAGCTCCCTGGGTGAAGGCTGTTGCAAATGAGGGATACTGACCAAGAAATCCAGAAGGTTTGCCCAAGCGATGAAGCAAGCACACTGCTCCACCATCACATTGTGTGCTACAAACATCACTTGCAGAAAGTACTGCATGAGCTTGTAGATGCTGAGCATCTCTGAAGCTGAGCATTTGAAAGTTCCAGCTTTCTTGGAACTTGTCACAGCCTTGGCATCAAACAATTTGCAAGGGTTGCAATTGTAACCTTTGGGCAATTGCCACAGCTGAATCCATGAGGCCAAAGTCTGCCACACTTTGACTGAGCTGGGAAGTGATTCAAGCACTTGATACAAAATGTCATTCAAGACCCCATGGCTTGTCAGTAAATGCATGTAATCATAGCAGTAAAGAGATACTGGTTTGAGCAGTCCAGCTGATAGCAGTGTATCACTGCTGAGCAGCGCATGGTGGTTGTAGCTCAAGCCACTGGCCTGTTGGAGTTGTTTGAATTCTGCCTGGGTTGTTGTAGCAACCTTTTCCTTCAGCCTTGTCCAACTAGCAATGATTTCCTCATCGGTTGCTATGTGAAGCTGCTCATACTTGAGGAATTTGCTGAAGATTTTGGCACTTTCTCCTTCTGTGCTTTCTGCATCCCTCAAGCTGAATATATTGTTGCATAGGAAGCATGGCTTGCTGCCAATGTCTTGGCGATTGGCCCATACCTGCTTGTGGGCACTGCCATCCTGGAGAAGCATTCCCAGGGAAAAATGTAACCTTAGATTCCCCTTGGATGATTTGAGCAACACCCCAGTGGTGGCAGTTCCATCACCAAAAATGTGCTCCAAAATGTGTCTAAAGACTTGGCTGTATCCAGCTTGCAATGTTGCAACCTCTGAAGATCTCAGGATGGAGATGCAAAACCACAGATCTGATCTACTCAGCAAATGTCCAAGCTCCAAGAATGAGATGTAAAAGCACCAACATTTCCTGGAGGTACTGTTCAAAATGTTGCCAGGGTGAACTTCATCGGAATAACACACAGCCTGCCAGGGAGCTGCAAGAGAACTAGGCTGCCTGGCATGTTTGTCCAACAGAAAGTCTGTGAACTCTCCTGCTTGGTTGAAGATGCCAGAGAGCAGAGACAAAAAGTTTATGAACAAGAAAGCCACCTTCTCATTGTTCAGAGTGGTGGCTTGCACACTCTGAAACAAAGGCCCATACATACTCATCGAGTGATCCTCCAAGAACTGTTTTGCTTCATTCCAAATTGAGAATCTACTGTGCTGTCCTGGCAATCCACCTTCTGCAATTTCCTTGCAGATTGCTGCCAAAGCTGTTTGTGTGCAAAAGGGGACTGAGGCCCTCAAGTCTGTGATTTTCCTCTTCTTAGAAGAAGATGCATCAGCAGCCATGGTTGGGCAAATATATGGCTATAGTAAACAGAAAGCAATTGATGAAAATGCAGTGAGACATTCTATTTTTATGGATGATAAAGGGAAACCTATGTGCACTATATGAACCTGATTGCTTTGTCTTTGTGTTGTAGCTTTTAGGAGGTAGTGATGAAAGTGGAACTACCAACAATGAATTCACTGTATGTGAAAATTGTTTCAGTAGTTAACTCTATGGAGCCTGTACTCCAGGACAGAAAAAGTGATGTTGATGTGGAACTTGTTGAATAAACCAAAAAAGCCTGCACAGGCTTGACAATGGAGCTTGCACAGGCTCAGTGACAAGTTCAGCCTGTACTGGCTTGTCGATGGAGCCTGCACAGGCTCAGTGACAAGTTGAGCCTGTAGTGGCTAAGCTATGTCCTTTTTTCCAACACCTTGCACATGGTTGAGCCTTCTATTGGGCTTCCTCAGCATCCACCTTGGCAGCTATCCTCTCAACTGCTGCCCTTATTTGCTCCTCAGTGAACCTCATGTTGCCCTGGCAGTTCCTCACAAACTGCTCTGCTGAGTACCATGTCTGCCAGCCTGACAAAGGTTTGGGCAAACAGTTTGTGAGGCAACCAGATATACACAACACAGAAAGTGTTGTTGAAACATGTTGAAACCAACAAGCTGACAACTAACACTTTTGGTGCAAGCCCCAAGCCTCCTGGGTTCAACCTCACATACCAATAGGTCTTTCGACCTCTGGCATCAACCCATGACTTGAAGCAAGCAGTTGCAGAAGGAGATGCAAGAGTCTTTGCATGCTGAACCCACTCAGCTCTTGTGAGTTTCAATCCACAAAAACCAGGGCTCAGACATGAAGCACAACCATTTTTGTTTCCTCTACAGCGCAAACACCCTTTCAGGTCACTCTTGGCCTGCTTGGGTTCTGCTGGCTTATTTTTGGTCTTCTTGGCATTTGGATCAGCTGTGTTGCTGGCAGGCCTTTTCATAGGTCCTTTCCTTGGGCCTTTGCAAGACTTAGGCTTGCCCTTCTTACCTTCATCCCTTTGTTTCAGCTTTTCCAAATTTTCCATTTCAAACTCTTCCAAGGATTTTCTACCCTTGGCATCACCAGGAGCTGTACCAGTTCCACTGGCAGCCTGCACAGGCAAATGCTCTGCTTCAGCAGGGGATGTCAAAGATTCAGTGCTGGATGCCTTTTCAACAGCAGATGAGCATTGCTTGCCTTCCAATATCTTGCTGGCAGCTGTTTCAAAGCGATTGACCAGCTGGCAAATGAGACTTTCAGGCATTGAGCTTTGTGTGGATCCACAAGCTGAAGCATCATGTGTTGCCTTGGCAACATGCCTGCCTTTGTTGTCCTTAGATGAAGGCTGCATGGATGATTCAACAAATGCCTTACTTATAAAGAAAAAACAAAAACATATAGCAATAAGTTCACTCAAGCTTCTTTGGCACTGAGAGCAGCAGCAGTGTTTCTTACCCAGCAATGCTTTTGAATAATCACAGCCAACTGTGGAAAATCCTTTTTGGCAGGCTTGTCTGATGGATAGGCTGCCTGGAAGTGCTGAGTTTCCAAATGACAAGGGTCCTCAGGGTAACTTGCTAGGCACAAAGACTTGTCTGGCACCTGCACAGGTGCAGATTGAAGGCAATCAAACACATGCCTGGCCAGTGAGTAGACCAGTTCAGCACAAGGCATCTTCTTTGACCTTTGGTTCTCATGCCAGACAAGTATGCCCAAAGCACATTTCTTCAATGACTCCTTCATGCCACAAATGCCAAGTGCTTTCATGCGCTTGGCAAGCACATGGCAACCTTCCCACATAGAGCTCTTCTCCAGCTCATCCAGGTCAGTGGAAGTCAAATATTTGTAGAAGGTTTTGCATTCCTGGCCAGATGATGCCAACACCTTGGATTGAGGTTGGTCACATTGGATTGCCAAGTCATCAAAAGCTTTCAGCAGCTCTGTGTTCAACTTGTCTGGAAGATTGGCTGCCTGCAAGGTCTCATAACAAGCAACTAGCTCAGAGCTAGTCAGGCCACTCATGTTCCCAAGCTTTCTCTTCAAAGCTTCACAGAGCTTACTTTCAAGCTCATGAACTCCAGGCCTTGCTCTCAGCAAATTGCCCATTGCCAAGAGCTCTTGCCTGATATCACCAGGCAACCAAGACATTGGCCAAAAACACAACCTTTTCCACTACTTTTTGACCCAGATGCAAAGCTGCAGCTTGTTCTATACACATCAAATGTAACATAGATAGCCTTGATTGGCTACACTGGAACCATTGAGCCTGTAATGGCATCATTTTGATCAATGAGCTTGCACAAGCTATGCTTTATGCTGCAATATTGTTTTTGATGAAAAAGCTGGCAGTGAATGCAAATATTAATTAGGTGACATCCAAAGCACATGAAAAATGTAGCTGTGCATTCAAAAATGCAAAGCATTAATCAGCATGTTGCCACACATACTTGCAGTGGCATAAAGAAAGATATCTAATTCATCTCAAGCCCTGCTTCATCAGCAGTTCTCTTTCTGGTAGCTCCATGTGGTTGGGCATCAAGTGGTGGATCATCTGGAATGTGGAAGTAATGCCTCCACTTCTGACATTGCAAAGCCCACCATGTTGGCATACCATCTTCGAAGACAATGACTTGAGCATCTTCATCACCATCCAGCCAAACATCACCAACAACAAATGGATTTGCAGATGTCACCATTGTGTTGGTAGACAAAGTGCATGCCATGGCTCGAGAACACTGTCTGGAAATATGTACAAACATAAGACAATATCCATGAAAATTCATTTATTATTGTTTATCATATTATATAAAATCAGAAAATATTGAACTAATCAATTAAATTTTTTAAATTGAAAAATTAAATTTTAAATTTTCAATTTAAAATTTTAAATTGAAAAATTGGATTTTTGATTTTC